TCTGCTAAAAATACAAAAATCAGCTGAGAGTGGTGGCGGGCTCCTGTAGTCCCAACTACTCGGGAGGCTGAGGCAGGAGAATTGCTTGAACCTGTGAGGCAGAGGTTGCAGTGAACCAAGATGGCACCACTGCACTCCAGCCTGGGTGACAAGAGCGAAACTCCATCTCAAAAAAAAAAAAGAAAAATACAGATGATTACACTCAGAAGAAAATATATTTATACCTTAAGCCAAACACAGTATTTTTTTCTTCATTCTCAGGCTTGATAACTAATTTAGAAACTTTTGCTGGGCATGGTGGCTCACGCCTGTAATCTTAGCACTTTGGGAGGCCGAGGTGGGCAGATCACTTGAAGCCAGGAGTTCGAGACTAGCCTGGGCAAAATGTCAAAACTCTGTCTCTACAAAAAAAAAAAAAAAACTTAGTTGGTCATGGTGGCATGTGCCTGTGGTCCTTGCTACTTGGGAGGCTGAGGTAGGAGGATTGCTTGAGCCTGAGCCTGGGAAGTTGAGACTGCAGTGAGCTATGATCACACCACTGCACTCCAGCCAGGGCAGCAGAGCGAGACCCTGTCTCAAAGAAAGAAACTTTTGTATTTATTTTTAAGTGACAGTTTATGATCTCCAAGAAAAAGAAGAAATGTATCCAATGGAAGTTGTATTCGAAGATAATTTTTCTGTAAGCAGCATTTCTGAAGACTACAGAGCTGAACTAAGACCATAGCCCATTTGTCCAAGTGAGATCTGATAAACGCCTGGCAGTGTGCTTTGCCCATAGACATCAGCTGTGTTCATCACGCTTGAGCAGGGAGAGACCTAGTTAATCTCTCAGACAAGCAACAGTGACTGTGCTGTCTATGTTTAGGGTTGTCGGCTGAAACGGCAGAAGTGGAGGTTCTTCACTGGGAGAAGAAACATTCTGGACACAAGTATAATCCTCATTAGCTTCATCATCCTGGGGCTTGACATGAAGAGTATTTCTCTACTTAGGAAAAACATGGCACGATACCGCGATGACCGGGACAGGTGAGAGGAAGCCTGAGGGGCACAGCATATTCCTACCTCATGGCTGAAGTTTCCCGGTTATACACAAGTATTCTTTCAGACTCCCCTTCCTTCACTGCCCTACCAGATCTGTATTTGCATAATATTAGAGTTAAAATAGAACATGGACTCATGTCCACAGCAGAGATAACAGTGAACTAGAAGCCATTTAACTGCTGGTCACATTGAAGAGCTCTTCTGTCTTCATTAGTGCTTAGGTATGTGCTTAAGGATAATGCATCTAAATTTCAGAAAGACCTGGAATTGGTCATTATTTTGTCCTCTGGTGAAGGCATAAAGCCTAACACAGGACAAATAATCCTTTAAATAAAACCACAACACATAGTCCATCCTTTAAATGCAAAGGGAGCTGCTTTCTGGATAGGGATGTTCATCCATTCACTCATCCTTACTAAGAGATGTTTGCTGCCCCTTTGGGCACTTTCTCTGGTTTTTCCCATGGAGAGGAACATCTATGTTTCCCATGCCAAGTGTTGCCAAGTGGTGCTTTGCTAACCTTTGCGTCAGTGGCCAACAGCCTGGGCAGTGACCTGTGTAACTGTTCCTGAGGCATTGTTTCAAGTAGGCCTTTTGGAGAGCAGTTTTATGCAGGCACAGCGGATCTGTGCAGGGCACCAGTTGCTAGTGTCTGTGGGGCTCCCTCCGAGTAACCTGGTTGCTGCAACCTAAAATTATGAATGTATCTCTCACAAAACAAAGCCTAATTGCTGAGCAACACCCCTCACCTCTAGTCTACCATCCATCATTTTGTTCTAAGCTTTATTGCATCTATTACATCAATCCTGTACAGCAGAGAACACAGGATTCGTGTGCCACAGAAAGCAGACCAGCAGCATGGCTCCTCTCTCTGGGCTGAGTTAATCTTTTGAGAGGAGAGATTTGGCTCAGAGCAGTGCAGGAGGCTAGTTTTGCTTCCCAGGATGAATTTGGAATAAAGAAATCAGCTAGAGGTCACATGTTAGGGTTTCTTCGGCACAGCTCCCAGTGCAATCTGCAACGGGTAGACCACTTGAATAATCCGTGGCCTTCTGTTATTCCCATATCCACAACTCACAGGAGGCCACACTAGAAAGCAGTTCTCACATTAACAAGCATTTGACCTCACAGGACTCAGGGCTGCCGCGCTCAGCAGCAGGGACGCTGGGGAAACTGCGGCATAGGCGCATGCTTCCTGCTCAGTAACTGTCAGCTTTCCTTGGTGCAGGTTTATCAGCTTCCACGAGGCAGTAAAAGTGAACTCTGCTGCGACTCACCTTGTGGGCTTCCTGGTTCTGCTGGCAACCGTTCAGTTATGGAACCTGCTGCGTCATAGCCCCAGGCTGCGGGTCAACAGCAGGACACTGAGCCGAGTCTGGGACGAGGTGGTGGGCTTTCTGCTGATCATCCTAATCCTGCTGACAGGCTATGCCGTTGCCGTAAGCCCCCACATTGCTGTCTCTCCTCCGTGTGCTGTGGTCTTAGAACCGCATCACTTCCCATAGAAACGGTCGCAACACAGAAACCCGAGGTGGTAGAGTAGGAAAGCCAGGTTTAGTTCTAGTTCCATACTTAACTGGTATGATTTAAACCCACATGTTTGTCTCTAAAATGGGGATAAAATTTAGCTCACATGGTAATATAAAGGTCAAATAAATTTCTATGAAAACACTATGTTATTACAAAGGAAGTTTATTCTTTTGGCATAATTTGGCCACAAGGAATTTCTTTCTGTTCCATTGGTTCTATGTTGGCCACATCGCCAGGCACCTCAGGACAGAAAGATGTGCGCTTGGCTTGTACTAACTGGCCTTTCTCCCTCTGTTCAGTTTAACCTGCTGTTTGGATGTAGCATCTCTGACTACCGGACATTTTTCAGCTCAGCAGTGACTGTTGTTGGTCTCCTGATCGGAATTTCTCACCAAGAGGAGGTAAAAATAATTTGTTTCCTCACAGAATTCTATTTAATATATTGAACAAGGAAAATTGGGGGAGTCCTTAGGAAAACAGCCCCCTACTGTAGACTGCACACTGGAAAGGGGGAAAATTTCAGTCCTTTGCTCTTCTGCTTTAAGGTACTGCCTATGCACACAGCATTTACATGGCTGTTGCTTTCAGAAATCTGCCCTTTCCTAAGCACTCAGTCCCTCCTTCCTCACTTCTTGTGTCCTTAATCTTATTGGCAAAGGACACTGGGACGAAGCTTGTGCTCTTGTGCTTGGCCAGATTAACATGATTCTCTGCTTCTCAATGGCCCTTTGAAAGTGCATTAACAGTGTAAGGTAAGTTGGTTCAAGCCATGAGAGGCCAAGAAGGGGAGGACTGCTTGAGGCCAAGAATTTGAGACCAGCCTGGGGAACACAGTGAGACTCTGTCTTTACTAAAAACAAAAAATAAAAATTAGCCAGGTGTGGTGGCATGCACCTGTAGTCCTAGCCACTCAGGAGGCTGAGAGAGAATTCTGTGAGCCCAGGAGTTGGAGGCTACAGTGAGCCACGATCATGCCACTACACTCCAGACCCTATGTCTATTTAAAAAAAAAAAAAAAAAAAAAAAAAGGCCAGGTCTGGTGGCTCACACCTGTAATCCCAATACTTTGGGAGGCTGAGGACAGTGGATCACTTTTGAGGTCAGGAGTTCAAGACCAGTCTGGCCAACATGGTGAAACCCTGTCTCTAATAAAAACACAAAAATTAGCCAAGTGTGGTGGTACACGCCTATCATCCCAGCTGCTCAGGAGGCTGATGGAGGAGAATCACCTTAACCTGGGAGGCAGAGGTTGCAGTGAGATTGTGCCACTGCACTCCAGCCTGGGCAAGAGAGTGAGACTGTGTCTCAAAAACAAAAAAAAGTGACACAATGGAAGTGACAAAGAATTAGGAAAAACCTGCCATTTAAGCAGTGAATGTGGCAAGATTTTGATCATGGTTGATCATTCTGATGATCTAGAATTCCAAAATTACTAATTAAAATAGGTAGGTTCAGTTTATAATGTTGTATCCGCAGGTTCCGCATCCACAGATTCAACCAACCCCAGAATGAAAATATTGGAAAAGTAACAATAAAAAATAACACACATCTTAAAATACAGGAGAAGAGTCAGGCGTGGTAGCATGTACCTGTAGTTCCAGTTACTTAGGAGGCCAAAGTGAAAAGATTGCTTGAGCTCAGGAGTGAGGCTGCAATGAGCCATGATTGTGCCACCACCCTCTGAGTGAGACTGTCTCCCACAGAAAGCCACAAACTGGTATAACAACTATTTGACGTAGCATTTACACTATATTAGGTACTAGAGGCAATCTAAAGATATTTCAAGTATAGGAGAGATGTATATAGTGTTTGTGCAACTACTATGCCATTTTTAAAATGGAACTTTCTAGGCTGGGCACAGTAGCTCATGCCTGTAATCCCAGCACTCTGGAAGGCCAAAGGTGTGGCTGATCACTTGAGGTCAGGAGTTCAAGACCAACCTGGCCTACATGGTGAAACCCCGTCTCTACTAGAATACAAAAATGAGCCAGGCATGGTGGCAGGCACCTGTAATCCCAGCCACTCAGGAGGCTGAGTCAGGAGAATCGCTTGAACCTGGGAGGTGGAGGTTGCAGCGAGCCAAGATCACGCCACTGCACTCCAGCCTGGGTGACAGAGCTAGACCCTGTCTCAAAAAAAAAAAAAAAAAATGGTGAGTGGGGAAGACACTTTCTTAACCTGTAGGGAAGCTTGCAATAAACAAAAAATAATAATAGGCCAGGCGCGGTGGCTCACGCCTGTAATCCCAACACTTTGGGAGGCCGAGGCAGGTGGATTACGAAGTCAGGAGATCAAGACCATCCTGGCTAACACGGTGAAACCGCGTCTCTACTAAATATACAAAAAATTAGCTGGGCGTGGTGGCAGGTGCCTGTAATCCCAGCTACTCAGGAGGCCGGGAGCTTGCAGTGAGCTGACATCGTGCCACTGCACTCCAGCCTGGGAGACAGAACAAGACTCCGTCTCAAAAATAGTAATAATATAATAGTAATAAAAAGAAGGGACTTAAGCATCCTCAGATTTTGGTACCTGTGGGGGCCCTGGAACCAATCTCTCTCAGATACTGAGGGACAATTGTAACTGCTACTTTGGCGAACTAGGCTGTTCTGTTGTGGTCCTAGCTCCAATAACTAGGGGATGAGCCTTCGCCACTGGAGCACTTCATGTCCTAAAGCTGTGAAGGAAGTAATCAGAATAACAAACTTGTGCTAACACCTGGTTTTTGGGGAAAAAAGCAAACTTTTCTGCTTTGGATGTAATTGTACATAAAAATAGAGTAAACATAAAAGTAAACATAAAGAGTAAAAAACAAAAAATAAAAATGAGTAAAAAACATAAAAAAATAAAAAGAGTAAACAGAGTAAAATTGTACATAAAAATAAACTGATTGGGAAAAAAGTCTTGTAGCACAAACTGAGATTGCCCACATTATCTGGTTGACCTGAAATTGTTGTAAGTATTTTAAAATAGCTAACAGTTTAGTGCTTAAAAATATTTTGTCATATAGGAGATTGCCATCAGGGTGGTGTTTATTATAATCATCCCCTCTGTTGGGGTATTTTTAAACAGTGCCTAGTGGCAACTATGAATAGGCCAATACCAAGGGAAAATAAATACCATTTGTTGAGAACATCTACATTTTTAAAATTTGTGTTATGGGAACCATTTTAGGAAGCCCAGAACTTGATACTTATGCAGAAAAGTAAAGAAAGGCAGAACTCAATGCTTATACCTTTAAAAATGACAATGGAGGCCGGGCACGGTGGCTCACGCCTGTAATCCCAGCACTTTGGGAGGCCGAGGCGGGCGGATCACAAGGTCAGGAGATCGAGACCATGGTGAAACCCCGTCTCTACTAAAAATACAAAAAATGAGCCGGGCGCGGTGGCGGGCGCCTGTAGTTCCAGCTACTCGGGAGGCTGAGGCAGGAGAATAGCGTGAACCCAGGAGGCGGAGCTTGCAGTGAGCCAGGATCGCGCCACTGCACTCCAGCTTGGGCGACAGAGCGAGACTCCGTCTCAAAAAAAAAAAAAAAAGACAATGGAAAAAAAAAAAGTACTATAAAGCCAGTTTTCTGTGGCCAACCTGTTAACTTTTACTGGAATGCTCCTGTTTAGGGTTGTAGTTTCTTGATATGGCAGAGACAGTTTGCATTCTCACTTCTGGTAGCATTTATTCTTTCAGTGTTTGTGACCCCCCTTTTAGATTCCATGATTAGATGTATTTTCTGGAATTGCCAAAATTCATGTGACATTTGAATCATTTCCAATTCCACTGCAACTCACCTGTTTTCTTGTGAAAGCCCTGTAGTCAAAATTATCTTAACCTCCTTAAAATCAGTCATTGCTGCTCTTCTGTCCATTTAAAAGTATTTTCCTTCTTAGTATCTTTGTGCCTCTCTCCCTGTTTCCATTGGATAAGCTTTTCTTCTGAAAAGATTCCAAACGTTAGCATGTAGCTTATGTTTGTAAAGTAGAAACTAAATTGTCAGTCACTGAAAGTGTTCTTATTGTTTTCCCAGGTTATCGATTTAGACCCAGTCCTGGGCACCTTTCTGATCCTCACCAGTGTCATCTTGATGGTACTTGTGGTAATTAATCTTTTTGTTTCTGCCATTCTCATGGCCTTTGGAAAAGAAAGAAAGTCGCTTAAGGTAGGTAACTAAAAGATAAACTAGCATGCTGTTGTATCACTGGGAAAGCTCCACTGTAACTGCCCCTAAGATTATGGGCTGACGTAACTTACAATGCACAGTATCATATTCCCTTTATTAGTTTCAAAAGCTCTGCCAGCTATCTTCCTAGGAAACCCAATTTATAAGACTACATAATATTCTATAGCCACTGTCCTATAAACAGCTGGCTCTCAACCATTGATTAGTGGAAACACTCCAATGCCTGACTGGAAATTATCAAAGAAATGTATCTTTACTATACATTTACTAATTTTTAAAAAATCTTTGGTACTTTGGTACTTTTTTCACTCCAGTATTAGTAGTAATTTCAATTTTCTCCCTTTTCTCTTTTCGTCTTCAATACTCAGAAAGAAGTGGCACTAATAGATATGCTGCTACAGAAGCTCTCAAATTTGTTAGGAATCAGTCGGCCCCAAAAAACCTCATCTGAGCAAGCAGCCACGACAGCAATGGGCACTGACACTGAAGTTTTAGATGAACTACCTTAATCCTGTTATCTCCTATTTATTTGGCTATTTCCTAGCATATTACTACTTATCTTTGCATGGCATAGCTTTAAAATTATAATATACTTTGTTTTTAATTTTGTAAGTTAGGAATCAAAATCCCCTTGGTCCCAAGTCCTTACTTATGGATTTTGGCACTGTCAAGATAGGATTAACAATGCAAGAATCTATGAGACAAACTAGCTCTGCTGCCAAGCAGCAAGTAACAGAACACTCATCACCCATGGCCCAGGATGGCTGTGGGAAATGAAGGAGTCAGAATTGAGCTCACTGCAACTTACTAAAAATAAACATCCAAGGATGAGGCATGGCAGATGTGGAGCCCTGCCACAGAGGAGGACAAAGCAAATTCAGATGCTATCTAGGCTATCTAAACACAGATCAAAATGAGCCCTGCACTGCTCCAGGAATCCTGAAGGTAAGGGCTGGTTTACATGGATCACTTGGTTAAAATATTCTCCACTGAAATCCAGATTTATACTTCATCATCTGACCAAACAGTAAAGAAAGCAGGACACAGGATCTTTAACTTTATTAGCAGCTACTGAGCTACAGAATACAAACCAACTGAAAACATTAAAGGCTGCCTGAAGCAGGTATGTACAGGTATACTACACAGAAGCAAAAGCTGTATCATCCAATCCCAAAGCCACCCCTGTGGGGAAGGATGACCTTAGCTATGGGCCAAAGGAGTACAGAAGTTACAACATGAGAGTCCCATCCATCCAGGAAAGCAGTGAACAACTACAGCCGCATGGGCACCAAAAATTTATCTGAGATTAGTTTTAAAGGTTCCATGAATCAAAGTTTTCAAATGAAAACAGGTACCCCTCTTTTCCTGTAGACTTTCCAGCTCACTACCCAAAAGACTTGAGTACTTCTATTAAGGCAGCTGGAAGCCCACCCTAGACTTGAATGGCAACTTGTCCTTTCTCTGCCAGTAATGCAATCCAACAGAATATGCTACGGGGAAAACAATTTCCACAGTGCCGCCCTCTGGTACAAGGGGAACACAGCACTCAAAGCAAAAAGGCCACAGAGGGCTCCCTGAGAATCCAGTACATCTAAGCGAGGCCTTCAACTGTGGAGACAAACTTTGCAACTGGATCCCGGTGGGATGGTGCCCTGCGGCAAGGAGTAGTGTGTATGCCAATGAGAGGGCCCAGCTTCCAGGAACAGTTACAATGGCGTCCTGAGTCACTTTCTCTCTCCCACTTGCATTCGAGAGTGAGAAAATACACACTGTGGCCTTGATTCTCACTCACAATCCCCCTGTACAGAGAGGTTTGTTTCTAAGTCTGCAACCTCAACACGAGGCTGGGATGCTTCACGACGTGCTCTCTCCCACTGTCCAGCCATCTTTGGTGGTCTCCCCACAGTGCTTCCCCATCCTCTCACGCTCCTGTGGAGGGACCATGGGACGGGCCAGGAGGAAACCTGGGATCACTCTGACAGGAAACAGACAAGCACAGCTGCCAGGAGTCAGCTGCTCCGGCCTCAGTCTCCAGTTGTTAGTCTCAAGATCAACAGAGAACTGGAAAGCAGCAGAATCTGGAGGAGCAGGAAGAGAGCCCAGAGGAGGAGTGTTGTGCTCAGTGACAGTTAACAGATGAAAACGGAATTTCATGGAGATTCTTTGTTACAAGGAGAAATTGCTCAGTCTCAACTCCCAGAATGTGAAAGTTGCCTGGTTTAAGAGACCTATGTTTTCTTTTTCAGCTCTTCAAACCTCCGGGAAAGATCATCAAAGTCAATGTCTTCAGATGCTGAGGTGCTGGCACCAGCAGATGCAGTTGGTAGTGTGTCTGGCACAGATGGCAACTCTGGTAGGACAAAGTTGTCATAGTTATCCGCAGGTCTGGAAGGAAGCTTTGCAGAGGCTTCTGGCTTGGGTCCAGGACCTAATTAGGGCAAGGAGCACAATGTTACAAACACCAGAGAAATGACTCAGATCCCCTTTGGCAATAAAAATAAAATGATCAAAATACAGGAGAAAACCTTAGTTCAAGAACTTTTGAGTCTCGCTCCTGTCACCCAGGCTGGAGTACAGTGGTGTGATCTCAGCTCACTGCAACCTCTGCCTCCTGGGTTCAAGCGATTCTCCTGCCTCAGCCTCCTGAGTAGCTGGGATTATAGGCGCACATCACCACACCCAGCTAATTTTTTAGTAGAGATGAGGCTTCACTATATTGGCCAGGCTGGTCTTGAACTCCTGATCTCAAGTGATCCACACACCTCAGCCTCCCAAAGTGCTGGGATTACAGGTGTTGAGCCACCACACCTGGCTAAAGAAATTTTATTTCTGAAGGCTAATAAACACTTGAATGACAGTTAACATCTACAGTTTCTAATTAGAGTTGAATCCTATCTGTTTTACTTTCCTGTGGTGAGAAAAAAGTTTAAGGGAAATCAACGTGGGATACATGTGGCCACATCCACAGAGCAATCGACTGTTCCCTTTCATAAGGTCTGCTCCTTTACCAACCAAGTCCAAGGAGTGATAATAGGATTCTGCTAGAACAAACATTGCTTCCTTAAGAACCAACATTCTTTAGGGCTTGAGGGGCAAAGTTTTTTTTAAAGGAATATCATGTCCAAGTTATTTGATGTAATAGTCTGATCTGTATTTCTAGTCTTCTATTTAGTATTTCATATTAAGATAACCCCCTCCCCCCACCACCACACACACCTACTGTATGGTTTCTGTAAGTTGTAGAATCAGGAAAACTAAATTACAAAAAAATCAAAATAGTGCTCTGACTCTGGAGGGAAGGGCAGAGTTGACTGGAAAAAGGGAACTTTGAGGTAAGAGTAACATTGCATACCTTGACCAGAGAGTGGAATTTGTGTGTGTGTGTATACACTTAAAATCTATGGTTTTTTTCTTTTTAATGTAAATTATATCTCCATAAGACAACTGTCTAATTTTATTTATTTATTTATTTATTTATTGAGACAGAGTCTCACTCTTGCCCAGGCTGGAGTACAGTGGCACAATCTCAGCTCACTGCAACCTCGCCTCCCGGGTTCAAGTGATTCTTCTGCCTCAGTTTCCTGAGTAGCTGGGATTACAGGCACCCACCACCACGCCCAACTAATTTGTGTATTTTTAGTAGAGACAGGGTTTCACCATGTTGGCCAGGCTGGTTTTGAACACCTGACCTCAGATGATCCGCCCATCTCGGCCTCCCAAAGTGCGGGGATTACAGGTGTGAGCCACTGCGCCCGGCCCCTAATCTTCCCTCTGGTTTTTGTTGGTAGGTAGTATCTTAATTTTTGTTTTTTAAGACAGGGCCTCACTTTGTCACCAGGGCACCCAGGCTGGAGTACAATGATAGCTCACTGTAACCTTGAACTCCTGGGCTTAAGAATGCCTCTTGAGTAGCTGTGACCACAGGTCCACACCACCAACCTGGGTTTTCAAAAATTTTTTGTGGAAACAAGGATCTTGCCCAGGCTGGTCTCAAACTCCTGGCCTCAAGTGATCCTCCTGCCTCAGCTTCCCAAAGTGCTTGGATTACAAATGTGAATCACCATACCTGGCCAGTACTTTGAGTACATAGCTACATGAACATGTTTGCTTTGTAAAATTCACTGAGCTGGCCAGGCACAGTGGCTCATGCCTGTAATCTCGGCACTTTGGAAGGCTGAGGCGGGCAGATCACGAGGTCAGGAGTTCAAAACCAGCCTGACCAACATGGTTAAACCCCGTAAACTAAAAATACAAAAATTAGCTGGATATGGTGGTGTGCACCTAGAATCCCAGCTGATACTCAGGAGGCTGAGGCAGAATAGCTTGAACCTGGGAGGTGGAGGTTGCAGAGAGTCAAGACTGCGCCAGTGCACTCCAGCCTGGGCAACAAAGCCAGATTCCATCTCAAAAAAGGAAAAAAAAACCAAAAAACCAAAAAAAACCACTGAGCTATATACACTTAGCATTTGTACTTACTTTCTCCTCAACATCTCTTTAATGCCCCCAACTTAAAATTTGGTATTTTGAGGCACAATGGAAGTTGAAGCAGCAATAATATAAAGAAGTCAAGCATGACTTAAAAAAAACCAGAAGGATGAAAAAGAATAGTGATACCACTGACAAAGAGGGAACATGGGAGCTTCTTTTGGGCTACGGACAATCTTTTATCTTTGGAAACAGGATATCCTGAGTTCTATTTTAGCATTTGGGAAGAGAACAGGGCATGTAGATAGAATTCCATGGACTTGGAAACAGTCTCTAAGGGAGGAACAACGAGAAAGGAGAAAACAGCAGAGGGTTCAGCATTGAGCCCTGAAGGTTTCTGATTGACACTACTCACCAACAATCTGTGCAGAAGAGATATTCTTATCAGCATTAACGTCATCTACCTGAAACACACAGATTGTTACCAGAGGAAACAGCAATGGCATCACTGGAGAAAGTACTGGTATAAGCCCCTGTGTTTCCAAAAGCTAAGGTGCTCACCAAATACAACAGAGCCTGTTCCAAAGAAACTGCCCCTGCATTTCTTCCAATCAGGTAGACACCATGTTGAACTCCTTTGATTTTAATTGAGACAGGGTCTTGTTCTGTCACCCAGGCTGGAGTGCAGTGGTACAATCACAGCTCACCACAGCCTCCACTTCCTGGGCTCCAGCCATTGCCCCACCACAAACTCCCGCATAGCTGGGACCACAGGTGTGCAGCACTATGCCTGGCCAATTGTTGTATTTTGGGTAGAGACAGGGTTTCTCCATGTTGCCCAGGCTGGTCTCGAACGCCTGCCTAAGCCTCCCAAAGTGCTGGGATTATAGGCGCGAGCCACCACGCCCAGTCCCATGTTGAACTCTTAACTGCCAAGCAGAGAAAAAGAAAATCCTTACCACACTATGACAACTTTAATGATACTTTCACCTTTGGGCAAAGGGAAAGCATTCCTGAATATATCTGTAAGAACCAAGTCCTCAAATACTGGTGAAGATTTTCGACCTCATTCCTACAAACAGCTGTGGGTTATGCTCCGACGCATGCAAAACCAAAGCATAAGAAAAACTCAGGCCCAAGGTAGAACACATCAGCTACAGATGGGAACCAAATGAAGGAACAGAAAGCAAGCTCAGGAACAGGAAGATCTTCCTAGATGAGTAATTTACATAGCAAATGCCACACCGATTTGTTTCTCAGTAAAATACTAGATGGAGACAGGTCTCAAAAGGCCTACAGTAACTGAAGAAACAAGGCTGGTCAAAAACAAGTAACCTAAACCACCTACAGTTCGAGGTATTAGCTATTCATTAGCAAGTTTTAACTAGAATACTAAAATGTGAAATTAATGCTATCGGCCGACGTGTAACTGGACATTTCTGATTATTCCTTTACATGTGTTGAGAACATATAAGACTAATATTTTAATAATTATGATACTTTAGCACCACAACTATATCAGCTCAATGTGAGTATCTGCCTAGTCAGTCAAAACAACTGGTTAAGTGCCCTCATAGAGCACTACAACTTTCTAAGAAATCTGTAGTTCCTTCCTGATTCCTGGCTTAATTGCAGACAAAGCATTGCCACCAATGATACTGCCATCACCACCATTCCCCACTTCCAGGGTAGTGTTATAAAGCAACATAAGAATCCCAAAGCAAAAACGATGACAGTACTAGGAATTGATCAAAACTCTGCCTTCCCTGTGGTCATTATTTTGCTCCCTCTTCATGGCATTCACTCTCCTGTTGCTTATAAAACAGGCTCAGGCACTTACAGATTCATACGATGGGGGAGTTGCTGGTATCTGAGGTGGATGAATATTGGGAAAGGCCTGAAAAGTCCCCATTGGCAATCCATTGAAATCTGACTGTAAGAGGAGAAAGGCAACATCAGAGACACTGTCTCCAGTTTGCAATTTCGAAGGTTTGAGTATTGGAAGGGAGAAATAAATACATGTATATTCCCATACTAAAAATATATGAATATTCAAGATCCTTAAAAATGCCCAAAAAGACCACATGTGGTCAGGATTCCGGATTTATAAAGAGCTATAACCAAAGGCTATTTAATCAAGTGCTTCAGTGCTTACAAGGGAAAACTCTAATGAGACTTTCTTTCTAGCAATGACCATCTTATCTACAAAGGTTTTTCTGCCCGATAATAATTGGTGGTTTATTCATTTGTGGAAAAAGCTACTAGTATGACTATAACAGATCCCAAAGATATTCAGTAAACCTATATGAAAAGTGTTTTTCTGGCACCATCTCTATAGATTTTCCTACAGCTGAACTAAAAGATCATCTTTGAATCCAATGATTTTTTCCCCACAAGATGACTGCCAGCTAATACCAAATGTTCTTACTGCTGACTGCTCCTGACAACCTACGATTCCTGAGTGTATTCACAGAGCCAGCTTGTCATCTTCTATAACATCTTCTAAAGCTCACACCCACACTTATGTATACTTACAGGTCCCTTTGGCAGTGGATATGAGAAAGGCGTATTTGCAGATGGCATGGGCATGGGCATTGGCATTGGCACCGTTCCATCAGGTCCACCAACTGGTGCTATGAACCCACCACCCCCTCCTCTTCCAGGGCCTCCTTTCTTCACATCATCTGTGAATCCAACATCAATAAGATCTGTATCTACCCCAGGAGGAGCTTCCGCCTGAGACAAAAAGAGAAACCCATGTCATTAACACATGTCCAAGACCAGGTTCCCCAGAAAGCGGACTCAGATGGAGATTAGCATGAAGCAAGTTTACTGGAGTGCTTCTGGGATCAACACGTGTGAGGGAAAAGAAGGCAGAGTTAGCTGGAAGGAGAAGTTGGGCTGCAACACAGTCACAACAGAGGCCTCAGCCAATTAATTCCCCAATGACTTCTGCAGCTGGAATGGACCTGATGGTGTCTCCAACTGGGGGTAATAGGGATATCTGAGCAGTACACACCAAAGCATCCACCAGACCCCACTGACCTTAACTGGTGGACGATTTTATTTTATTTTTTGAGATGGAGTCTCACTGTCGCCCAGGCTGGAGTGCAGTGGCGTGATTTCGGCTCACTGCCAAGCTCCTCCACCTCCCGGGTTCACACCATTCTCCTGCCTCAGCCTCCCGATTAGCTGGGACTACAGGCGCCCGCCACCATGCCCAGCTAATTTTTTCTATTTTTACTAGAGACAGGGGTTTCACCGTGTTAACCAGGATGGTCTCAATCTCCTGACCTCATGATCCACCCGCCTCAGCCTCCCAAAGTGCTGGGATTACAGGCATGAGCCACTGTGCCTGGCCAACTGGTGGATGATTTTTTATCCCTGTATCCTCAGCTTTCTGTGCACTACCTGACACATGGTGGGTACCCAGTAAACGTTTCAGGAACTGTTTGGGCCTTGGGGCATTTCTTGCTATCTACAGGTGGTTTCTCAATTCTGAAGTTCACCAAAAAGTAGCAATAATAGTGCCATTTTACATTTGTATCAAGGTTTGGACCTTCTCAGTGTTGCTATTCATCTAATTCCTTAAGTTCCCTGTGAGATATGCAGGCACATTTATTGTCAAAAAGCTACTAACTGGACGAAGGCTTAAACTCACACAAATTTAAGTTAATGCAAAGAATATGGATTTTTTTTTTCCAAAGAAGGTCATACCTACAAATTCATTTTTCTTTGTATTCTGGGATAAACTTACCATGACCACAGAGTCAGGTTCATAGGGTACATTGTAATTCTTCGCAATTTCAATCAGGTATCTCTCCACCAGGATTTTGGGTGGGGCTTCCACACTCAGCTTGTGCATTAGCTGTAAGTAAAAAGTAAGATGCATCTATACCAACCAGCCTAATCCTAACCTCACTATGCAAAGTTAGCTCCTCTCATTTTACAGGTAACATTCAGGAAAAAAAGGTTCAAAGCAGTTGAATTTTTTTCAGAGTCACAAGACACATCAGAGGACCCAAGTCTCTTCACATTCTCATTACACATGACCCAGATGCTGGTAAAAGACAATACTGCTGCCTTCCACAGTTCAATTCATCCACCACCCTCCCCACCTCACTTCCAACCTTCACAAATGACATGAGGCATACAAAGTGGGGAAGTGGAGTCAGGAATGACAGCAACCAGAGGAACTCAGCAGGTGTAAGGATTGGACCACACTGCCAGCCACACAGCTGAAATGTGAAACCCTATACTGAGCCATACAGTGGTACCCACTACAATTGCCACAGGCAATACAATAAACTGCTCCCACATACTGCTTTCATGTTTACCAACTATGTTCATTACCCTGTCATTCACAGTTCCAATCTGGTTGGTCCTACATAGCTTGCCATATTCCTTGCTATACTTGGCACAGAGCTGATCAGCAACCTAAAAAGAAAAAGGACAGTAAATAAAAATAGAGACCACTCCAACAGACTGCTCTACGCTTCTTCCTGGCAACAGTAAACATGTGTCTATTACAAGATTTCCAAAACACTGGAGTCTGCAAAACCTTAAGGGGTATGCATTAATCCACTATTTGTTCATCCATCCATCCATCCAATGAGCAGCACTCAAGTGCCAAACACTATCATGAGTGTTATACAATATAAATAAAAGGAACAAAACAGATACTGTTCCTACTCTTACAGTCGTACATTAATCAAATTGTACAAAGAAAAAAGTTTCCTCTTCAAAGTTTCCCTTCTTGTTAAAGAATAAATCATAAATGTTAGAAATGTTTCTTTTGAGGCCAAGTGCAGGGGCTCACGCCTGTAATTCCAGCACTTTGGGAGGCCGAGGCAGGCAGATCACAAGGTCAGGAGATTGAGACCATCCTGGCTAATATGATGAAACCCCATCTCTACTAAAAAGAAGAAATGTTTCTTTTAAAGACTAACTTCCTTCAAGCTTCCTTGCTTTGTGCTAATAACTCTTTGTTAACCCCTATCCCATGTAGCTATTAAATATAAGAAAATAAATACATTCTATGCCCTTGTACTTTAACCAAGATGCTCACAGGCATGTCTCAGCTCGCAGCCTACGCCCCTTCCTTATTTGGGAATGTTACTACTTTTCTAAGTCTTCTCATAAGCAACTTCCTCTTTTCCTTTGTTCTCCCTTGCATATACCTATTTTTAAAAGTTTTAAAACCTTTAGCCAAATGGGTGCAGCCTAGACTGGGAGGTCCAGTTCCAGCCAATGGAATCAGGACACAGCAATAGGGTCCAGATGTGTAGGATATAAATATTTTTACCCCCTTTGTTCAGTGTGCTCTTGCTATTGTTCCATCTGCGAGAAGCACCCTTTCTGCAGAAAGTAAAAACTGCCTTGCTGAAAGAATTAAATTTATATTTGAGAGCTATTTCTTTGTGGCACCGTGGAACAAGCATTTCTAACAATAACACAGATAATGGCACAACTGCAGCTACAATAAGTGATACCAAGTGAAGGTACAGCATGCTATCACCAGCTTCTAACAGCAGAATCAAATCTTATCAGAAAAGTCAGGTAAGGGTTCCTGAAGGAAGTGATGCTCTGCTGAGATTTAAAGGATGACTAAGGTCAGGCATGGGGGTTCATGCCTGTAATCCCAACACTTTGTGAGGCTGAGGTGGGCGGATCACTTGAGCTCAGGTGTTCAAGACCAGCCTGGGCAACATAGCAAAACCCTAGCCTCTATTTTTAAAAGACACAAAAATTAGCTGGGCATGGTGGCATGCACCTGTTATCTCAGCTACTCGGGGGGCTGAGGTGGGAGGAGGATCAGTTGAGCCCAGGAAGCCGAGGCTGCAGTGAGGCAAGATCGTGCCACTGCACTCCAGCCTGGGTGACAAAGCAAGACCCTGTCTCAAATAATTAAATTAAAAATGACTAGGAGTTAACTAAATAGGGAAGGAAGAGCATTCTAGGAAAAGAAAACAGCAGTGCAAAGCCCTCTGGTGGAAAAAAACAAAGTCCTCAAGCCTGCAATCAGCCAGTGAGCCTCTAGTACAGAGGCCAAAGAGTGTGGTAGGAAACGAAGAAAGGGAGGTGGGAGCCAGACAACGCAGGACCATGTAGGCTGTATAAGGGAGTTTTGTTTCTATCACAAGAGCAACAGAAAGCTACTGATGGGCTTTAAAGCAAGAGGTCATGACAGGATCAGAGCTGTGTTTTGGACAAAACCCTCAGGTGGTTCTGATAGAATAGTGAATAGATTAAAAGAAGCCACAGTAGGAATAGGAAGAATATTCAAGAAGCTACTCTCGCTTTCCAGACAGGAAACGATAGTAGCATTGGACCAGAGCGGTCCCAACATTCCAGGAGCCCAGTAGGAGAGTTCTCACTGTTCAATATGAAGACTTTCAGTGGTACCTGGCACCTATGATTTAAATGGCATTTGTCTTTTATGGTTTTTGTTTTGGCTGGTTTATACTATACAGAGATTATTTTTATTCACATTAGTGTATCACTCTGTTTATGGCTTTTGAATTTTGTAACATTTAAGCCTTTTCCGAGATTAATTTTAAAGGAGTACAGAAGAGACCAAAAACGGCCAGGTGTGGTGGCTCATGCCTGTAATCCCAACACTTTGGGAGGCCGAGGCGGGCGGATCACAAGGTCAGGAATTCGAGATCAGTCTGGTCAACATGATGAAACCCGTCTCCACTAAAAATACAAAAAATTAGCCGGGCGTGGTGGCAGGCACCTGTAATCCCAGCTACTTAGGAGGCTGAGGCAGGAGAATCGCTTGAACCCAGGAGGTAGAGGTTGCAGTGAGCCAAAATTGTACCACTGCACTCCAGGCAACAGTGTAAGACTCCGTC